ACCGTAGCTACGATATACAACCTTGGACAAGACATGAATATATATATATAAGCCAATTAATATTTAAACATAATGGAACATATGTGTTTTCGTTTACCTATGCACACATCTTGCACGCTTGACAGACGCATTTGCAAGAACCATTGTGCGCAGAAACAATTGAGATGGTGGAATTGGTTGTGCAAGCTCCAGCAGTGTGGAGATTCGAGACTGCTGGTTTTGCCAGGTGTTGTTGGGCTTTGACAAGGTTGCGGGATCGCGCACACAGAAGTCCGTCAAACCCAGCTTGGAAGACCTTGGAGAGCTGGTAGAGCAAAACTTGAGCGAATGGCTCGATGAAATTGATCCTTGACGAGTTAGTAACAGTTAGCTGGAGCAATGGACCGGTGTGGAGTTTCACTGTGACAGTTCCAGTATAGAGATGTTCACGCAGCCTCTCTCACAGATGGGTTCGGGTTTTGGTGATTTCATTCATTTCCTCAGCGAAGCTTAGGGGTCTTCAGCCGTAAAGACTCTGGAGCAGATCAGACCAGGTCTCGGAGCACGGAGCAGGTTCAAGTTAGTTCCGGTGCGGGTCAGGCGCCAGAGGAGGTTGCGGGGCACCAGGAGGTTCAGGTTAGGGCTTATGCCTCTTTCCATGCGACAATCCCATCACTTCCTCCTGCCCTCTTCTGAACTGGTTCACCGCCCTGCCATTGGATCAACAAACAAATCACCTGGTCATTTCACTGTCGCAGCCACCATCCAACTCCTTTTCGCGCAAGCCTCCTCATTCGCCACCCTGCCGACCCTACCTCTCATCTGCGACGGCATTGCTACCCTCAATGCAGGGGATTTTCCTCCTCTGATGTCTCTACCCTGCGCAGACGTATCAGATCACATGCACTCCGCGACAGCTGAAAACGGTAGACCCTCTATCAGCTTGAAGTTGATCTCGGTGCATCTCCTTCGGACCACTGGAAAAACAATAAAGCGGTCTGTCTCTTTCGGCAAAAAAGCCAGAAGGATTCTGTTTAAACACCATCAGGATGCCATCCTCCTTCCACCTCCCCGTTCTTTCCCTGTGTCCTGTGTCCCTGAATCCTTGGCTCCCTTTACAATGACAGATGTACATGTAGCCTTGCGTAGGTTAAAGCCCCACAAGGTGCCAGAGCCAGAGAACGTCAGCGTGGACCCGCTCCGGACCATTGGAAGCTTGCTAGAGTCGTAACGAAACGGGGAATCCCAAAACTGCCAGATGCCTTCCTCCTACAGGCCGCTAAGTTTGGCAAGCTCTGTTTAAAACGACTTACGCCGCCTCCTTCAAAATAGGGTAGCTTTCCTTTTCGATCTCCGTGTTTGTGAGTTTCAATATGGTTTTCCGCAAAAGCCGCTCCACTAGCGCTCCCCTCTTTCATCGTCGCGTGGTCGAGCTTTCTGAGCAACGCACCACAGCCTTGTACATCTTGTTTTTGGACAGGTCACCTGCTTCGATAGCGTTTGTCATGAACATTTGGCCGTTTCTTTTGCTCGCCTTGTCATCCCCCTTCCTTTATGGACAGCCCTTTTCCAGGATAGCAAGTTTTTTGTTTGCTCCTTCCTGCATTCCCCTTGCACATTTGCCCTTTCCCGTGGAGGGTGTCCCCTTAGCCCCTACCATCTCCTACCTCTTTATTCTCGTCCTTACGGTCTTAATGCATGACATGTGCTCCTCTTTTGACAATCTGTTCCACTTCACACCATGGACATTCTCTGGCTGAACTCCCATGACCAATGTTGAGTACGCCGATAACCGTTCTCGCACTCAGCGCACCCTCCACCGCCTGCTGCAGCTTCTTCAGCATGAGGCAAGCAAGCGGGCCTCCTCCTCAACCCTCCGATACATCTCTCGCCTCAAGTGAGCCTCCTTTCTCCTTGCCCCTGTGTTCATTGCGGGGGCACCGCAGCATTGGGCGACCAATCCCTCCTCTCGATTCCGCAAAATATTTGGGTTCGTATATCGCATTTAACGGTTCGTCCAATCCGGATTGTAACTTCCGATGCTCCCAAGCAATGGGCTCCCCTTTCCCAGTCTTCACCAACTAAGCTCTCCCGGTTCGGCGCCGATTGCAGGTTTACTCTCAATTGTTCTAGCTATTCTTCTCCGTGGATGCAAGTCCCAAGTTTACACTCCTGCACATATCACACGATTCAGTTCTCCCCTTTATTGAGTCCTACGCCTACGCCAAATTTTTCAGGTCAAAAGCTTGTATTACCACAGAGTTCTGAACCCTTGAGATGAAGACGGTTCCAACGATTTCCTCCTGTCCTTGGCACACCGCCATGCTCCACGCCTCCTGATTCGTAGTCAACGCATTTCAGTTCATCGTTTACGTCACCTCGGTCACATCCTCTGCAAATAAACTCATCTTCCATCCCTCCTCCTCACGTCAGCTTTCCTCCCGGCTCGCAAGGTGCCGCACTTGTTACGAAACCTGCGCGTCAAGATTCGCATCGCGCAGTGCTGCCAGCACGTTTCACAGCAAAAGCGTTTCCAAAGACAACATCATGCCCAAACTCCGCTTTCGCCCCAATCATATGTCCTCAAATTCTGAAACGAACCACGTGTCCAAAGTTCATGATTCACTGGACCTGCCACGAAATCAACGCGCGCCAAAGACCGCCAAGTCCAAAGCGCTGCGCCTGCCACGACAATCTGCTCATCTCCCACGCGTGCGAAAAGTCGACTTGAGTCCGAAAAGGCGCACGGCACCAAGAGCATCGAGGAACATCCGCTCCAGACCAGTTTGTGCGAGCAGTCCGAAATGTGCTTAGCTTGAGTCCCGAAAAGGCGGCGATTGTAGCGCAAATAGCAGCGAATCAGCCGCGCACGGATACAAGCACCCTCGATCAAACCCAGCTGTACCATTGCCGTGAGAGCCCCTAATGTGACCACAATGTTTGGAGAATTTCTGGGCAGAGCCTGACACGGAGCTGTGTTTATCCTAGTAGTTAGCGCACAGCAGGCTGTGGCCCTCAAGCATTGACAGCCCTTTCCCCTTTGAAATCGGCCACCTTCCTCTGGGGTCTGCCAAGGTCTTGTTGCCAAGACCCCATATTGACTTATATAGTAACTACTTAGTACGTGTCATCTTGCAACTGTGCTAAGGAATGTTGGGCATATTTGAGTTAGAGCCTTCATCCTGATAAATTCAATGCTTGGAGGGAGGGAAAGGGGGAAGTATGCTGCTTTGGAGGGTTGTGCTTTCCTTCCGAGGAGAGTCTCACCTTTGAGCGTTTGGAGGAGATAGACCGTCATGTGAAAGGCATGACATTGAAGGCGCCACTGCATGGTTTCAGAACTGCACAGTTAGTACCGAATATTGGAGCTTTTGTTAGCAGGCTTAAGTCTTAAGCTTGTGCATCCATCACTTGATGTGAACCCCCCTTTGGAAAGCGGAGGCCGATGGATTTCAGAAGAAGCTCGACATCATCGAGTCCTTGCCAGCTCTCCAGAGGGAGGGTGATCCAGTCGATGAAGCTAGAGAGGGGTGATGCCTTGGACTCAGAACCTTAGAGCATTCTGTGCGGCAAATGTTCACACATGACAGAAACTCATGATTTGTCATCAGCGCCCAATTGTCATCAGAGTCCACATGGCTATAGACGAGACCGATCGGCGCCTTCCCAGACCGACAGTGCTGAGTCACTGGTCACTGGACGAGACCGACTGGTTTTAAACAGAAGACTCTCCGCTCCTCCGGAATCCGGGCCTCGAAAATCCGGAGCTCTGCTTAGCAGAGCAGCGCTCGGCATCCAGTCCATGGCTCACAGCCACTCTCTACAGCACAAACGACTCAAAGATGCTGTGACAAAGTTTTGTTGGGGATGTCGAAGGGGTTGTGACACCAGTCTTGAAGCCATAGCTTTCCCGCCGCCAAAAGGCTTGCGACAGTCCCGACTCATTGGCTTCGAGGGGAAAAGACCTGAGCGACTCAAGGCTGCTTTTGTGTGGTCACAACGTGGGCCGTTCAGTATAACCAAAGACTTGTCAAGAACGACACCTACAGCAAAATAAGTCGAGGCGGCATGGCACGACCCCCTGGTAAAGACCATAAAGATGGCATGATTTGTGGAAGTTGAGCAATCATCAAAGAAAGAGTGCATAGTTTCTTGACGTGATCTACTTCCAGAAGGTTGTGCTCGCACCTGGCAGCTGGCGGTTCAGGGGGCCCATAGGGGAACCTATGGCCGAGGAGCGGGGACGAAATTGTTCGCAGTCAAGCAACTCCTGGGCCCGGGGCTGGGGCTAGCAAATCGAGGCCGCATTCCGAGATGTAAAGCTCAATGCCAATCAAACAAGTATCGCCAGTATCGCGATACAAATCCGCTGTATCGCTGGCAAAGGCACCCCAACTCCGCATACAAACCCCTCAAATTGGTTGCTTTTCATGTGTAATATGGTGTATTATTTATCTATTTTTTTTATTGATTTGTATCCCCCTCTCTCTCTCTCTCTGCATTTGTGCATGCGTGGGCCTGTCATGCAGGAGGAGCGGGTCAATCAATTTGCCAACCTGGATGCGGCCGCGAAGGCTGCTTTGGCTACTGGGCTGCGTCCTGTTTTTCAAGTGCTCCTTTGATGGCATACTACATTGGTAGATGACCCCTTAGAATCATTGTGGCCGGCTTCATAGTTCTCGGTGTGACTGGAGTCCCTGGAGACTTCGAGCTGAACTGTTTTTTGTTCATGTGAAACAAGTGCATCGCTACTAGTAACAAGTGCCTTACTAGTAGTAACAAGAAGCTATTAGAAACGAGTGCATCGCTATTAGTAACAAGTGGATCATGCCCAAGCGCCAGCCTGAGGCTGTGATGCAGGGACCCGGACGCTCGGCAAGTACGGCAGGACCACGAGCGTTGGAGACAGCACGCTAGGGCCGCTAGGGGCATGATCAAGAGGCACCTTCAAGAGGATCAATTTTTGAATTCCTCTGAGGCACCGGCGAAGCTCAGAAACCTGCACCTCAGGCAGTTTCGGAGTTGAAGATGCCCATTATTGAACACGTATTTTTCCAACAGCATGGGACAAGTTGTTGTTGATATTGTATATATAATATTTGTTTCAACCATCACAGGATCCAGCCTTTGGATATCACACTTTGCTCACATAAGCAGCGATATTAACAGTTGTCGACTAGAATGTCATTGATCGTTGCTGAACGCCCTAGGGGGGCCAGGAGTTCCAGAGGGTGCAGACCTTTGCAAACCGGAGCGGGTTGCAGGCAGCTGGAGTGCCAGAGAAGCAGGATAGACTCTTCGTCTCAAAGGCTGCCGCACGGTGTGTCGTCGCAACAGTCTTGTTACTAGTAGCTTCTTGCTCCTAGTGGTAAGGCCAGGAGCTACTAGTAGCGTCCTTGCTCCTAGTAGCGATGCTGGGTTCCTAGGTAGTAGCGAAGCCCACCCCATTTCCCATATAAAGGCCGTGAAGCTTCCAAGAGTGAAAGGACAGCCTCAGCAAATGCTTCCCGTAGATATACACTCTCCCGTTCAATCGGCTCTGTGTCCTTTGGTCGAGTCACCCAGGCTGCCACTAGTGTTGATTCCACTTTGTTTTGTTGTGTTCATTGTTTTACTTTTCTACTTTATGTTTGCTTCTTATTTTTAGATTCCCTCTCTCTCTCTCTCTCGCGTCGTTTGTCTGATTGGGCAATCTGCCAAGAAGCATCAACCCAATATCAGTCTCGGACAGAAAATGCAATCAAAAGGAAACTTGTGGGCGTTTCCCCCTGCGCAGGGGCGACCTAGCTTTATTGCGGATTTTAAAGGAACAAGGTGAGGTTTTAGGACTCTAGCGCAGGCTTGTTGTCTTCCACTCTCCATGCTTTTGCTTTGTCCATTTTCTCAAGTTCTTTTGACATGACAGTAGTTCACACATGCTCTAGGAAATTGCTGGAGCAAGGAACGCATCTTTCAAAACCATCACAACCAGCCAAATCGGTACAGCATGTTCTCAATCATGGCATGACGTCGTGAATGCACAATTGTCCTCTTCTTTGAAGTGCGTGATATTTGCCTAGCGGTCGCCTGAGACTTTTCTCCTATGCAGAGCGTCTCAAGCCACTGATTCGATACCAGAGGTTGTTTTCTTCCAGTTGTGGTTTGTATATGTATATATATATAGATCGTATACATATATATATATATATGACTATTACATATTCACAACGATTTTTTGTGGCCACACACGTCTCAAGCACCTGTGCTCTTGAAACACCAAAACGCACGCCACATGCCGACCCCTCTCCCCCTTGCCAAGCAACGATGGACCTTAATGATGAGAATGCCAAGAAAACAAGGGAACAAGTATGTCATGCAATGCAACTCTGAGAGAGAGAGAGAGAGATACATATATACATTCTTTTTTCTGCGATCCTTTTCTGCTCATGCTCCTTGCTCTTCCGCCGTTTTGGCCCTGAAGCACATTGGAAGCTTTGTTGAGTGGCTTCCTCCGTGCCACATCGCCGTCGGAGCGCCCGACTGGCCTGCCATGCCTCCCCGCTACCCACAGCAGAGGCTTGCTTTGCACACCTGGCAGAAGACCTACCCGTGTCGCCAAAGTGCGTGGGTAGGGTGCCAGTCCACCTTGGGAATCCAGTGCTGGTTCCAGCAGGGCTGCTGCGCGATCGGTTGGATCCTGTCCCTGGCCGAGTTCTTCAAAGTCCACAGCTGGCGCACACAATGTCACCACTGTTTGCCAAAGAGCCGTCAACCACCCGCTGCTCAATTACCCGCTGGATGAAGGCCGCCTTTGTCTCACCATGTTCTCCCTGCCCCCCTTTCTCACAGGCCTCTTCTTTGATGGCCATCAAGTCAGCATATTTGTAATGCATAGTGATCCGGCGCTTGCATCCATTGCACCGCAGACTTCTCCCTTGACTATGTGTGTCCTTGGAGAGTGCTGTGTGCTGCAATTTCAGCATACAATTCTTCTTCTTCTTCTTCTTCTCCTCCCTGGCCTGTTGTCTTCATTCCTTGTTAGTCTTCCGTTCTTTTTGCATGAACTGCCGTGGATTCAACCGAGAACCTCACCCTCTGCACGGCCTGTGGTGCAATTCGGTTGTACTTGTTGTCCTGCTCCCTGAGTTCTTCTTCTTTGCTCCCTTGTGGCCTCAAGGAGAGAGCAAATTCCTTGGCCGCTGTGCCTGCATCCGCCATTCGGTTCTTCAAAGACCATTCACCAGATGGCATGGAGCGCACCTGTTGTGCTTGCTAATGCTGAGGGCCTTGATGCGATACCTTTGATCCAATCCAACGTGACCAGCTGGTTGAGGTCATAGAAGGCTTCACTATGTTTGCCATGCACCCATGCTTCCCAAGCTCCCTTGGAGAGCGCATGAATGCGCACCAAATTGCTCAAGTCCGCATAGTGGGCCACCATTCTCAACCCATAGAACCAAGCACGCTCCATCGCCTGCTTAGCCGGGCAGCACAGTACCGCCGCATGCGGTACACCTCCAAGGGTGTGGTGGACCAGGGGCACGACATAGTGTTTGAGACGACTGTCATGACTTGTGGTCGAAATGCCAACAGTGACAATCTCTTGGTTGCGGAGCCTGACTTCATCTTGTGTTGTCCAGGACCCAGGATGTGGAAATGTCATATGTTTGCTGCTGGAGCAACCGTTGTGCCCAAAATTCGAGGTTGATGCCCTGCTCGAGCTCAAGAAAGAAGGTCTTCGGCTGCAAGTGGAGAACACGCCTTGTTGGTTTCCTTGCACAACCAAAGCAAATGAACTGCTGTGGCCGGTTGTCCACAATGTGGACATCTCGAATGCTGTCCTCCTTGGTTGTCCGCAAGCTTGGTGAAAATGGCCGTGCCAGGTCTGAAGGGCCGTGGCATTCTCTGGTCAAGACTACATGCCGCTGCCAAGGTTGCCAATCCAAGGGCTGCTGAATTTCTTGAAGCACAGTCCGACGCTTGTTGAGGCGCATGACCCTTTCCCAGATTGCTGCCCTGTGCATCTCCTCCTTGAGATCGAACCAGTCATGGTGAGGTTGAAGTCGTTGGCCCCATTGTAGCCTGGTTTCGTCCATTCATACTTCGTGGTATCCCATCCATGCTCATGCAGAATAGCATATGCAGCAGCTGCCACCTGTCCCTGGGCTACAGGCGCTCCCGACTTGCCAAGCTCGTTCCAGGTCACGGTAGAGGTGTTCAGCCCAATTGCCAAAGAGCTTTCGGCACGACTTGATCCATAAAGGCCCCATAGTCCAGGTCATGATGCCTTGGCTGCATGTCGTAGACGATGTCCACATTTCCTGTTCGTTGAAGTCTCATCTGTCTAGCCATAGCTGTTTTGATTCTTTGCCTTTCATAGTCATGATTCTTCTGAGCCTTCCGGCCGTGCAGTCTACCCCAAGATCTCTCATGACATCATGTACTTGTGGACCTCCTGCTGGTAGCTGTTCCTTGAGCATGCGCTTGGCCTCATTGTTGGACACCACACAGCACGTCTTGCGCTCTGAGAGCTGTAGATGATCCTCCTCCAGCAGCCGCTTGACAGGGTCATAAGCTTGGATAGCAATGCGTAC